ACTCGGATCATCAGCTGGAGCTGCTCAACCAGGCCGCACAGATGATGACGGAAACACGGTTCTCGCTGCTCGTTGTCGATTCTGCCACCGCACTATACCGTACAGATTTCGCTGGACGTGGAGAGCTTTCTGCCAGACAAACGCATTTGGCCAAATTTATGCGCACGCTACAACGGCTTGCGGATGAATTCGGTATCGCCGTTGTAATTACGAACCAAGTCGTCGCGCAAGTGGACGGTGGACCAAGTGCCATGTTCAACCCTGACCCCAAGAAGCCTATCGGAGGTAACATTATTGCACACGCAAGTACGACTCGTCTCAGTCTGAGAAAGGGTAGGGGAGAGACGCGTGTATGCAAGATCTACGACAGTCCGTGTCTGCCAGAGAGCGATTGCTTGTTCGCGATCAACGAAGACGGTATTGGCGACCCCAAGGAGAAGGATCTGGAGGAGAGGAACAACAGGTGATGAGGGAGATGAGGTGCGAAGCGCCATGGAGCCGTGGCGATCTAGAGCTTTTGGTTTTACACGATTTACGTTTATGCAGCCGTATGATATCCTAATACATTACCTGAATGAATGCGCATTCTGTCTATCAGTACTGTCTGACTTATAGTGGGATTGAACGGCCATACTATGTGGGGAGTGAGATAATTGGGTTGTGTTCAGGGTAGCCTGCGGTGATGGACAAATCGTCCGTGCACCAGCCAGCTTCGCGCATCCATCGTCGCGCAACGATTGTTTTCGTGAGCTTCACCTCCGCGCGACCGCCGCAACTCGACCCCAAACGCGCGCCATAACCTCTCAGCCCCCGCAACGACGGCCGAACCCCCTTCGCATGCGAGCACCATGGTCCAACATGGAGGCACGTGTCTCTACAAAGAGGCGCGCTTGAACATTGAGCCCGCCTACCCTGGCTCAACCATCGCATTTTCGATCCCGTCGCATTCTCCCTTCAGCACACGATCCAGCGTGAAGCGCAGTGTAATCACAGAATCTTATGCGGACAAGGACGAGGAAGACTTCACAAGGCGCCATCTCGCTACAGATGGGTCCATGTACTTTCGGCAGCACCATGCCTACCCGCGCAGCTTCCTCTGGCGGGTGCTGGACAACAGGAAGATGCTCGAGATCCAGGCGACCGACTTCGATCACGACTACACCGACAAGTTCGAAGCAAACTTGACGCTCCTCTTCCAATTCCCCGCCCCAATCCGACCCTTCTGCGTCGCTTTCGCTGAGCCCGCCGACCGCGATGCATTGACCGTCTTTGCAATCACCACGGGCAACGAGCTCTACACGATTACCCTGCACCGCGACTTCTTCGCCAACCCCGCAGCCTCGGAGCAGGAATCGGAGACGTGGTGCAAGAGGTTCGAGCCGGCGCTCTTCAGCGGGCGCATACCCTACCGATTGGCCGCCGCGAGCGCAGACGAACTGCTTGTCACACTCGACGACGGGGCCATCTGTCGCCTGATCTGGGACAAGGCCAACAACACTTGGGACGGATCGCGGTACCAGCAGAGCAATTGGTCGGTGCGCGGTCTCCTGTCGTGGAAAGCGCAGCCCACGGTTCGCTTCGAGAACGCAGACTTTGCTGTATCAGCCGCGGCCGCCGTCGCGATATCACCAGACAGCAAGCACATCCTCTCAGTATGCCTGGACCACTCCATCAGGGCGTGGAACATAGCGTCAGGCAAGCCAGGCGCGCACATCGACCTCCTGGGTGCCGACGACTTCGCCATGGAGAAGTCTCATGGCTCATACTCCATTGGACCTTCGCAGTCAATGCTGATGGCTGTTGTGAACATCCCAGGTGGTGTGGGAGGCGCACTATACCACGTCGTTACGTACTCGCCAAAGCAGCATCAGTTCAAGTTCTGGGGCGTGAGGGATGCAGACGACCAAGAACACGGATTCTACGACGCTGCGCAAGACTCAGAACTTATCCCGCCGATCGACGAACTTATGAACACGACCGTATGGACACTAGAGGAGTTCCACATCATTCCTGGGCCTAACACGTGGAGAGGTTCAGAGATCTGGATACGCGCCAGGTCTGGACCAAGCAGCAAGGTCTACTCCCTCAAATTCGATCTCACTGACTACGCCGAACAACGAACACAAACGTGGAAGAATGATTGGGTGTCTGTGGATTCGGGTCCTCTGACCGTCGAGGCATTGAAGGTCAATCCCGCGAACCCAAGCGAGCGGGAGTTGGAACCGGAACAGGATCTCTCTAATGAGTGGTACGAGTTTTTGTTCTACCCAGGCCGCTTCTCGATCGCGACATTAGAAACTGCGTTGCGCATATACAGGAGAGGCCTGGAGGGGATACGGCACCGGTCAAATCGAGTTCACAAAGGGTCACTGAAAGAACGTCTGGTCGCCACGCTTGTCGCCCTCGCGATTGAACGTGGTCAGGGCGAAGACTTCAGCAAAGACCTGACAGCGGAGTGGCAGGCATACTACGGTTTGGTGAAAGACTTGCATAAGCGGAGGGGAGAATCGTTGTCACTCAGTTACGACCGCGCTACTGACAGGCCGTGGCTAGTGTTGAGCGACCACATCTCTGCGATCAGGAACTGCAGCGAGTCGGAAGTCACTACACTGAATGCAGCAGTCATCTCGGGTTCGCGTACCTTGAGCAAACCTCTACGGCAAACTCTGGATACATCGGAATCTCGCGACGTGGCACGTCTGCTGAATGCCGCAGCTTCTTTCCGCCAACGACTACCATACTTCGTCCAGCAGAAGGTCCAACGTCACATGGAGATGGACCTACTTCAGAGCCGGAACATCACGATCTTGGATCGCATGGAGTGGATCGAAGGCAACAGCGAGCTTTCTCAACATGTGACTGACGAAGATGTAACGACTCTTGTTGAAGAGCTCGGTATGGAAGTCAAGGACCTGGGTACCGAGACTTTCCTCCGCGCCATCAGGAAACTGGACTACGAGCATGACGGCAGGCCTCAGTCGAGAAAGCAGATCGCGCGGTACGGGCTGAATGCGTTGTCATGCGTTTCCAAGGAGACTCTGGAGAACGACCACAATGCTTTGCTTGATCTGCTTGTCCTGCTGCTGTTCATGTTCATTGAGCTAGAGGGCGAGACACATGAGGAGTGGGACGCGTCTGAGGTGTTTGCCGAGCTTCTACTGCGGTATAAGGACTGCATGGTCGTTTCTTGGCTGGCCCGTACAGTGTGGTCTCACCAGACTGGAACAGGCTTAGCATCCGACAATCTCAATCGCATGCTGAGCGAGACATACAAGACTGGCATGAAGTTACCCATCACCCAGACGGTCCTCGAGGGAATTTACGGAAGTCGTGCCTTTGAGGTGCCACTACCAAAAGACCCGAAGGCGGGTCTACTTACCCACTGGAGTCGCGGCTGGTTGTCATTCATCTTCGAAGAACACGACTTTGAAAACGCTGTGGAGGATATGATGGGGATACTCTTGTATCAGCAAGAGTACGAGCTCGCCAAAGATTTTTCCAAGTTTCTCACGGAAGGTCACTGGGCGTCGTATCTGAAGGGACGGCTGTATCTTGCACTAGGTAACAAGGAGTTGGCTTCTGTATGCTTCCAGAAACCTGCATACTATCTGGGTAAGTCTTGGGCATGCGATTTTGCCACGAAGATACTAATTTCTGTAGCTCTCGGTCCCATGTTCGACGTGGCGGAAGAAGACAAAGCAAACCTCATATCAGAAGTGGAGCGAAACTCGTTCTCCGAAGGCCTGGCACACTATTACAGTCATGTCATTGGTCTGTTCGAGAAGGCCAAAGCATACTCTTACGTTGCCGACTTTGCGAAGCTGGGGCTGCGATCTTTGATGGGCCAGGAAGATGTGGAACTGAAGACGGACCTGCTTCAACGGCTGTTCACCGCTTCGATACAGACATCTAGATTCCAGGATGCATACGGTGCGCTGATCAGGCATCGGGACACCGCCTTGTAAGTCGAAGAACTGTTTCCACACAACTTCGGATACTGACTATTTCCCAGAAAACTCTCCGACCTGCAGACGCTCATCACATCCATGGTAGCCCAATCGCAAACAACCGAGCTTCTCAAGTTCCCCTTCGTCGGACTAACAGATTCGGTGGACACCATCCTCACATCCCTCTGCCAAAAGACACTCAACCTCGCATCCGGACCGCCCTACCACCAGATCCTCTACTCCTTCCGCATCTCGCGCAACAACTTCCGCGGCGCCGCATCGATTCTCCACGAGCGCCTCCAGCGCCTCAAGACAACATCAACCAAGATCCACGACCCAGCCGACGAGTCCCTGACACAGTGCTACCTCATGATCATCAACACCCTCTCCTCAGTCAGCAAAGAAGACGCCTATATATTGGCTGAGCAGCGCATAGAAGCAACCGGTGGCCCGCCGCAGTGGGGCATCGGCCAGGGAAAGAAGCTGCTTAGACGGCAGATCATCACTCTGGATACCCTGAGGAAGGAGTATCAGGCGGAATTGGACAGGATCGCGGCGATTGAGAGTGGCCAGTTTCCTTTTGTGGATCCGGTGGATGATATGGATATCTTGTAGGGCTTGTTGGTGTTATAGCGACGGCGTTCTTTGGCGGCTTTTGCGGGATTGAGAAAGGGATGGGTGGGGGGGTTATGTAGATTTGCTATCTGGCTGGGTCCGAATTGGATCGTGGAGTGGCTGGATGGTATTATGAGAATCCAGATCTTGAGTAAATGATGGCTATGGTGATTGCAGTTTGTGATTCGGCAGTGTTTGTCCTGTGATTCGTGAAGAAAGTGATCAGGTGAGAATCCAGGTGAGATGCAATGACGCGCTAAAACGCGTGCGATGCGGGACGTCGCGAACCTCCAGGTAGGTGCGTCGCAGCCGCTGGAAGACAGCAGCCATCAACCGCCCCTTCAGATCCTCACGCCTCCAACCATGGCGCAATAATTTCTTGTCCTCACCCTAATCACCTCGCCAACTACAAACAATCCTAAACGAACCTACGCAGCCATGGTACGCACCCGCCCTCTTACCCTGCGCGCGCGTCCCTCCACTAACCCAAACACGCAGAACTCCAAATCCCTCCGCCGCCTCGCCGCAGACCACGCCTCCCTCCACACCGCCGGCCTGCCCCCAAATTATCTATTCCCACCGGGGTCCGACGATAATAGCTCAGACCTAACTACGCTTGACGTCCTGCTCGCCGGTCCTGTTGGCACACCCTACGCAGGCGGCGTGAGTAATCGCCGATGTACGAACTGCATGTGAGAACAAACACTGACTTCGTACACCCATCTTTAGGTATGGCGCCTCCACCTCGACATCCCACCCACATACCCCACCGCACCGCCCACAGCGCAGTTCCGAACACGACTATGGCATCCGAATGTTGATGAGGCGACGGGGGCGGTGTGTGTGGAGACACTGAAGAGGGACTGGAGTAGCACGCTCAAACTCCGCGATGTGCTTGTTACGATATCCTGCCTACTCATACAACCAAACCCAGCGAGTGCGCTGAACGAAGCAGCAGGCAAACTAGCCACAGAGGACTGGGAGGGTTATTGTAGGCGGGCGAGGCTTATGACGGATATCCACGCCGCGATACCGAGGGATATCGAGCAATACGTGAGGGAAGCACAGATGCGAGGCGAAGATAAAACCACAGAGCCGGAACAAGCCATCGCGAAACCACATTCAAAAGGCAAAGAAACAGAGCGGGTTAAAATCACGCCTGCAGGACCCAAACTCACGCGCATGAAGAGTGAGGATGAGGAGAATAGGAGTAGGAGGGGTGGGACTCAAGATGCGGAGAGCGGGACTGAGGACGACGCGGTGACTGGGCAGAGGGGTGGGATAAGGAGGAGTAAGGTGCCTGAGTCGCGCAGACAGGGTAATGTCTTTGGGATTAAGGGCTTGGGCGATGGGATGCAGCTTGATTCACCACCGCCGAAGAGGATTTTCGCTGTGCCGGGTGCGCATACGCCGCCTGTTTCTACGCCGAACGAGAACGGGAAAGAGAAAGGGGATGGGAATGGGGATGGGGTTGGAGATGGAGAGGAAACAGACCCGTTTACGACTGTCACGTCGAAACGGAATACATACACAGAGTCCGACGCCGATCCTCGATTTCCCGCCACCACAGGAACAGGAAGAGAGACAGGAGCAGACACCGAAACCCCCGACCTCCTCAAATTCTCAACTCAAAACCCCTTCGCTGCTATACAACCAAACAACCAAACTCACCCTCTCTTCAGAGAGTTTTCGTTTAGTTGGGAAGATGCGATGGTGGTGCATGATGCTGGTGTCAAAGAAGATGCGAGGGGCATGGGAAAAGCGGATGTACGCAAGAGACACGCGACGGAGGAGTTCGAGAAGAAGGAACGGTGGGAGATGAAGAGGTTGAGGAGGGCGGGAGGGGATTTGAAGAGGTTTAATCGGGGGGATTGGGGGGTTAGGGTGGGGGTTGGACGGTTGTAGCTTAATGAGGGATGAGGAGTAGGGGTGTAATGGTGGTTTGCATAGCGATATGGCGTTTTGATTCATGATCAATGATGGATGTTCACGGCGGTTGCAGTTGTTGATAAAGATGGGATGGCATGGTAGTAAGGTGGTAGTGCGATAGTGCGGTATACCCTATGAAATACACTCCTACGATTCGCGATGTCATCCTTTCGTATTCAAATCCTCAAATAGGGCGTTGACGATGATCATCACCATCGCCTACACATTGGATGAGGCTCATCGCTTCCTGGGTATATTACACGCTCACAACAGACTATGGAGACTACCGGCACCGAAGTCCAGACATGATTCTGTTTTTCATTGTTTTCGACACATCGGAACCAATCCACCATCTTTGGTCGCACCCGCTGTTGTGGTGTATAAAGAAAGGAAGAAGAGCAGTACCGCATAGATAGTGCTTTTATATCCCACGAGTTAGCTCTCTTTCGGTGTCCCTGGTTCATAACCGATGTTGCGTCATCTCTTGGTATGACAACACAGCACCCACACAGACAGTCATTTACAGTCTGCATTGAACTTTCGATCTCATCACTTTTCTTCTTTTATCTTTTTAGAAATGGGCACTCGCATGTCAAGCTCTGCGGGCTAATTCGCGTTTTGGAAAAAGAGGAAGAGAGGGCAAGACCGAACACATCGCTGCGAGCTAATGCGTTTTTTGGGGAGGAGCCACCGTCTCCATAATCGACTGGTTTTGTGCTTTTGGAGAAATAGGAGGAAAGTGGTGGATAAAGAAGAAGGGAGAAGGGAGGCGGGAGGGGGGCTTTATAGTAGAGCCGAGGACGAGGGCGCTCGCACATCAAGGTAACATAATTGCATTTTGGGTAGAATGGAGAGTTCTTGATGATTTTTGGTATCGTTGGTGTGGCTCGCGGAGAAGGCCGGGACACATGCCTTCCTTGTCATCAGGTTTTGGAAGAGAGGCACAGCCCACATGTTTGTCTGGACGTAGTCTTTTGGAAAAAGAGGAGGAAGATGGAGGATGTAGAAAGAGTAGTCCCGCAACCACAGGAGGTTTTTACATGCCGGGGCAGAGGAAGTGGCGACCACATAGTACATGTCCCGGATCATTTCTGGTAGAGGCGGGCTCGTCGCGGTGGCTGGACGAGGAGGACAGAACATGTCATTATCCAGGTACTATTTTGGAAAGAAGAAGGAACCATGGGGCGGTTCCATATCATTTTAGGAAAAAGAGGAAGATGCAGTACGTTGAAGGATGAGTACTCCAGTCGCGAGCAGAAGGTTTTGTAGTCGAACCTCGCGTCGTTCGTTCTCATGTTGGCAAGTCTTGCTGTTTTTGTACGCTCATAGTACTTCAGGGCGAGAGAAGCTGGCCATGCCAATGTGGGGCGGCGGTTTTGGAGAGCACAGGAACACCCATGAGTGCTGGTGGTGGTATTTTGAGAAGAGAAGGCGCAGTCTCCATACGCGTTCGATATGCGACTTTTGAAAGAAAGCGCAGTGCTGCTCTCATCGCAGGCCATGGTGTACTTTTTGGAAGAAGAGACACAAACACCATGGCCTTGACATTTCGACATTTTGGAAAATAAGATAGAAGTGTGGATGTAGAGAAGAAGAGAAGAGCCGTCGCAGACGAAGCTTTTATACATGGACGACGCACGGGCGGCGCGCACACATCATAGCGTTGGTCTTCTTTTTTTGGTACTGAAGTAGCATGTTCGCAGGAGCAAGACACCGTCATGTGTCGATTTCAGGATGATTTTGAGAACGCGAGGGAGGAGAGGCGAACACATCGGTGTCTTGGTAGTAGATTTTGAGACGCGAATCCACAGCGCCATGAAAAACTCGTTCTGAGGTTTTGGAAAGAGGGATAGAAATGTTGGATGTAAAAGAGAGCAAGGCGCAGGCACTTAGCCCCATGTACATATACTTGGTTGTTCTTTGGAAAGAGGGATCGAAATGTTGGATGAAGAAGGAAGAGAGATACAGCAACCGGAAGAATCGTTTTATAGACGAGCCGAGAAGACGATGCTCACATATTCTATCTCTGTTGGTGTTTCCGTATGTAAAGGCTAATTTCCCGTCGCGCGATTGCGCTTTCATGATTTGATTGGCTATGGCTTTGGATAACACAGGAGACCAGAATCGGACTCATGTTTCTTTGAACATCTGTTTTGAGAGAGGAAGATGACTGCTGCCATCAAAATTTTGATGTCATTTTGAGAGTAGAGGATAGAATGTTGGGTGTCAGGCCGGAGGCCTCTTTCATGACCGCTACCCTCTCAAATTTGAAACCGCAGCACACAAAGGTGAACACTTGCGCATTTCGCAGCGACCACCACACATTCTTTTCTCTTGTTCGACTTTGAATAGCCGCTTGGGTTTTTGTGGGCCATCTTCTGCCGTGAAGCCTCTTCTCGAGGTTTTTGAGTTCGGACATCGGGAAAGGACATGGCTGCTTTTTCTGCCAGTTTTTAGAAGAACGAGCAAACTTCTTCATCGAGGATAGGAATATCCTTTTTGGAGACTAGAGAAAGAAGCGAGGAGTTTCTGGGAATGAAAGAGTGTGCAGAGAAGCGGTATTTATACCTCGAGCGACTAAGAGAATGACAGCGCGGAGGCGGCGCAGGTCATGGGCTTTGGAATGCATCCTTTGGGCATTAGGTCGACGCTGAAGGGCGAGCTCCCATCAAATCGATTTGCTTCAGTTTCGGAAATGCGAAAGAAAGAGCCGACCATGATTGTTGTGGAGAGTGGTTTTTGTGGAAGAGCAGTCCTCTTCATGTAATTTGCGAAGACGTCTTTTGGTGTCGCAAAGTGCAATAATGAATATGAGGGGACGAGAGATCGCACTGCGATAAGATTTTACATCGAAGCCATGCAGTCATGTGGCCTACGAAGTTTGGAGGGTTGTGAGCGCGTGAAGAGCGTAGAAGGCCAGCCACTTCTTCTCATGTTTGTCTTGCGTTCGGTTTTGAGAAGCGGGAAGACACGAAGACTCATCAGTTGTAGTCGCATAACTTCAAAGAGAGCACGCGAAGACGGAGGCTCTCCATATAGCCAGGTAATCCTGTTTTAGGTAATGTTTTTGAGAAAGTTTGTTGATGAGGGAAGTCGCAACGAAGAGCGGATTTTATAGCTGGTTCACAGGCTCACGTGCAATAGCGCATTGGGCGAGACGCAATCATGCCATGCGTTGTTTTTGGATTTTCATATGGGGTAATTGATATGGCGCATGATCATATCGCTCCCATGCAATGGATCAGACTGGCTTTGAAAATGGCCTGGAAGGAAAGAACACATCGGTCTCTTGACGAGTGATTTCGGTGGAACACTGGCCACAGGCCATAGATCTGTTTGTTGATATTTTGAGAACTCGAATCTAGAGGCTGGTTTTGATATTGGCGAGAAGGTCAGGCCGAGGGTACACATTTTGTAGGAGTGATGCGGCTGGTCTGCGCCCACATTGGCGGTCCAACTCGCGTCATGCGGAAAGATTCCGAAGTCGCCCGTGCACTGATGCACGGACAGTTTTGTATCACCCTTGACTTGTGCTAAGACTGGTGCACCTTTCTCTCTCATCGGAAGATATCGCGTCTCATCAACTCAGCACTTGTTCAATTGCATGCAAGATTATCCGAACAAATACAGTTGTCAAGCGGAGATGTCTGACGAGTACCCTGAATTGTCTGATCGGCTCTCAGAACCGTCTGACGACAGTAGTCACGATAAGGATTATTTGTATCACACCGACGTTGAAGAACGCCGATACTGAGAATCGTGGCTACCTGAAGATTGCTATTCGCCGCCACAAAGGGGTTTTTTATTTCGTATGCAGAATGGCACGTACTAAGAACTGACTTTCTGGTAGAGAAGAGCTAATCCGACTTGCCTGGCGCGAACGAGCGCAATGCCGCGGACCTGACAAGACTGTATTTGACAATTTCTTCTTCTATACTCTCAACCCCGTATTTACGTTCTCTCTTCGGGTAGCACACCCCATGATGGTCCCCCTAAGCGCTTCATCATTTGTATGCGCTCCATCATCTCCCTAGGATACATCTCCAGGGGCGGATAATTAGCTCCATGTTTGGGTTGCTTTCCTCCATATTCATCGTCGCTGTCTCCATCTTCGTGATCGCTGTCTCCGTCTTCGTCCTCGCTTTCTCTTTCTTCATACGCATCGTCGTAGTAACCATCGTCTTCTGGAGGAGACATGAATTTCTGGAAGTCTTTATAGCCCCACCTGCGCCTAAATTGAGGTAGATTGTTGGCAAATTCTTCTTTGTAACTGAGCGGACCGTCTGCTAGCATGCTTTGTTCGATGAAGTTTCGGTAAGGTCGATAGTATCCCGATTGCAGTGTATGCTCTTCCTTCTCCTTTCGTCATGGTTAGCATGGTCTCACATGAGATATGTGCAGACTGACCTTTTGCCAATCCTCTTCGGTGAGGTAAAATAGTCCTTGCATCTTCCGATCATCCTCACTCGACATCGTCTGGCACATAATTGTGATAGAAGAGCCAGCGTATTTCAGATCGTAAAGAGGTTTTCTCATTGCCTCCAACACGTTAAGAACGCTACGCTCCACATTCAGGAACCCGATACGCTGCGAAATCTCCATCTCGTCCAGCCCAGAGTCTTTCCACTCCGTTCTTGCTTCCCCATACCATCGAGGTTCGTCGGGCGAGATCTGAACTCGAACGTCAAGCTTAGCTTTATGTTCCACGAGCGAAAGCGCAGACTCTAGGTCACTGTGTGAATTACCGAGATTCGATAGTTCTCTCCACAAGAGTTCCTCGGATCCAATTGGCATTCTCGGGCAGATATCAGTGACTACGATCCTGATGTATATCTGCCGGATAAACTTGTACGGCAGTACACCCAGGTTGAAACAGTCCTCTGCCAGTAGCGGCATCAACTGCGGTAAGCCCGGACGTTTTGAAGCCCAATCTGGCGAGATGGCTTGAGTGCCCACCTCGAAAACGTTGGTAGCATAGTAGCATTCCGCCGCTTCGCGTGCAACCTCGTAGCCCACGTAAGATGGGCAAAATACCTTGTAGTCTGATGTGACAAATTCTTCATCAGATGCCGTACTAAGACCACCCAGACCGGATCCAAAATACATTGTCTCGCAGTCAGCAACAATGTACCGGTATACTTCATCTCGTACCTCTCGGGGCACTTTAGCGTATAGTTTGGACGCAATCTGACGGACTTGCTCGCGATCGCGCTTCGCTCTGAAGATTTGTTGTTCCCTGTGACGGTGTCAATTGGGGTGGGCGCCATTTCGTATGCAGGTGGCTGTACTTAGAGGGCTCTTTGAGGTTCAATCGCTTGTGGAGCATGCGCACTGGACGCCATTTCCATCGCTTGTGTAATGGGTTTAACCCATCTGGGTCTCCCTCTGAACGTTCTTCTGAGAACTCCAGCTCCGAATCCCAACCTGAGGAAAACTCTGAAAGGTCTTCTGAGTACTCCGCCTCCAGCTGTGAATCTAGCTCTGAATGTTCCTCTGGGTACTCTGCCTCCCACTCGGGATCCCACTGGGAGGAATATCGATCCATAATCCGAGCACTGTTGAACTTCCGCTGGGAAGACGCGATGCAAAAACTTCCAAACTACCCAGACGAGCTGTGTGCTGAAGTTGTTGGGCTCGTCAATAGTTGCTTGTACCTTCGAGGATGAAGAGCGAAGCATTGATGGCACCGAATAGCGTGACGTATATAGCAACGTTGGCTTCTCCCTCCAATCATCGTTTGACGCGTCAACGAGTTTGCCCCCTGTCTCTGCACAGACCACCACCACACACCGCTTGCTCCCGTTCATTTCGAACGCTCAGCGTGAAAGGTTTACCGACTTTGCTGTTCAGCAACAAAGAAAAGCAAAAACACGCGCCTCTAATCGCGACAATGCCTCCCAAGGTAGATCGTCCCAATCGTATAGGGCAGGGGAATCAGGCCACTAAGCCCGCAAGGTATTGCTACTCACATGCAAACATGGTCTCCTTGAAGTTCACGCGATAGCAGAAAGACCCCTCGCCCAGCTAAGCTTAAAGATTTCAAAGCTTCGCTTTCAGAATTGAAGCGTGAGAAGCAAGCTTGCCGTCGTCTAGCGGCAGCATTTTACGACAAGCTTGATAGAAGATTGCGGGGCGATGTATACTACATCCTTTGGGAAGAGGCATACTGTTACAGAGTCAACCTGGGAGGCCGCAAGACCGGCAAAAATGTCTACGTTGAGCCACTCTTACGGATACTCAGTCCCGCATACGTAGGTGAGAAAGTCGCGTTTGAAGCGGCAATTTTTTACACTGTGGTCAACTCTCACGAGTGCCATGACGTGGATCGACTCAGTCCTATACTTATGGACAACAAATTCCATGAACGCGTCTTTCCGTACCAATGGTTAACCAAACTACATCTCACCATCAAAATCGACGATATTACCGCTCCAACATTCGAAGCCAACTACGGCAACAACTGGGTCATTGACCAGGAGCGAGCAGAGGGGATTGATAGGGAACAGGAAAGTCTCAAGAATCTGTACGAGAAACTCGATTCGAGCTTCGCACTATTGTTGAAGCGTGATCGTTTAGCAACCTTTTCTAGCTTGAAGATTCACATCATGTTAGAACTAGAACATTATCCGTACACGGACTCACCGGACACGGAGACGCGCATCGCCATGCTGAACTGCGAACGCGGCTTTCTCAACGTCCTCGAAGTCATGCGCAAACCTGTGTATGGCTTGATACATGCTGGAGCCAATGTGGTGATCACATGGGACGAGGAGATGGATGGGTACCAATGTTGCGACCCGTTTATCGAGCAGAAGCCTATACCTGGACTCTTCCATCTGAGTAAGAAGGCCTGGAAGAAGGTATGTAGCGGATTTCTTCTAATCACCATCACGAGGATGACGTTCCAAATGCACCGTACTAACTTTTCGAACCAGGAGATGGCCAGGACGCTACGTACATTTAAACGCTATGAACCGACCCGCTACGATCAGGAATTGATTCAAGGGTTATGGGACCGGGGCGTGTACTGCGAAGATTTCGCCGAGGCACTTCCTCAATACAGAGAGCGGTGGGGCTATACCTCATTCAGAAAGCTGGTGAACATCGGGCGGCGTTGGGAGCTGGATGATAGCGAGAACGAGGATTGTACTTCGTCGGGGCCGAGCACGTATGATGGGAGCGAAGAGGATGAAGGTAGCGAAGAAGATGAAGACGGTGACGACTACTACTACTCGAGCGACGGCTCAGGTCCACAAAGAGACTACGAAGCCACTTATGACGACATGGAGCGATGGGGCTTTTAGTCATGAAGAACCAGAAGACAATTCCAAGTTACCTACCTGTCTGCCCATAGCCCTCAAACGCGTGCCTAGGTATCTAAGATCATGTAGATGATTAGCAATGTTGGCCTGCGTCTGTCCGATGGATCGTTTGACGCGTCAACGCACGGGCCACAGAGCACGTGCCACACACCGCTCACTCCCGAGGTCCCGTTCATCTTGAGATCTATCCACAAGAGCTAACGGAACTGTTCTCAAGTAGCAAAAAGCAAAAGATAGCACAGCGATGCCTCCGAATGGCAATCGTCTCGATGGTGCACATCGGAGCGACGGGGCCACGAAACCACATAGGTATTCTGACCCCTGCATCGTCGTCGCCGCCTTCCGGAATATTCACGTCTGTGCAGAAAGAAACACTACAAAAAGCGGCAGACCAAAGCCCAAGTCGAGCGACAGGCTTGCCGTCGCCTAGCCACCGAAATGTATGCCAAGTTGCCGCGCGAACTACGGGATATTATTTACGAATACGCCATCAAAGAGCGCATATTGCACCGCGTGCCCGACTTCCCACAACGCAAAAATGCCGAGGTGCCATCGATACAGCACATATACAGCCAACATTACGTGGGCGTGGAAGTCGCACGCGAGGCAGCAGAGTTCTACTACTCCCAACAGCACATCATCGCCAAATTCCAAACTCTAAGAGAAACCCTCACTCGAGACATCTTTCACCTGGGCGTTAAACCCTACATGCACATCCAAACACTACATGTTCGCATCAACAATGACAAGATCAGTGACTGTCTTGTGACTAAGGCAGGAGCAGACGGTCACGGCCGGCTCATTGAGAACGCAGCCATGGAACAAAGTGTAGCGCAGGAGAAAAGAAACCTTAATGATCTGTACCAGAAGCTGGAAGCGGGCTTTGCTCTTCTCCAGGCAAAGAGAGAGCCTTCGTCGCTGAAGCTCTGCATCATCATCAAGATGTCTGGATACAACGACGATTACTACGAGGAAACCCAGGAAGACGTTACTTCCAGGCGGGATTACGAACGCAGGTTCATGAATGTGTTGGAAACAATACGAAAGCCGGTGTATGACATGATACACGCTGGGTGTAATGTCGAAGTCAAATTTGAGCCAGAACTGGATGAAGGCTACGAGGACCGCTATTGGGGCGATGGCACTGACGGTGGCATCGAAAGTGATTCGGATGAAGATACCGATGTCTATATGCGTCTGAATCTGACACCGGCATTATTCCATCTCAGCAAAGAGGAATGGGAAAAGGTTCGTAGCTCTCCTAGGCGCACCCCACCACTCTCTCGTCGCCTCTACCAAACAACCCTTCCAAAACACTTCTACAAAAGCCACACTAACACCCACCCCCTTCCAGGAAAAAGCCACAAACATCTACCTCCACGGCCGCTACAACCCAAAAGCACATTACAAATCCCACATCCTCCTCCGCTACACCCGCATCAACAAACACTACCAAATGGACTTCGCCCGCAACCTGGCAGAGTACAGAGCGAGATGGGGCTATACATCACTCGAGAAGCTGTTACATGTTGGAAGATATATCTATGGGCCGGAAGATGCCGGTGACGCTAGGAGCGAGAACTCGGGCGGCTATTCGATGCCGTGCTATACGAACAGCAGTGCGTATAGTGACAGTGAACGCCCGGATGGTTGGACCCATTGGTCTGAGGAGGATGAGGATTTTGAGGATGAAGATGTGGGTCGTCATAGCGACGACAGTTTGGACGAATGGGCAATGGCCCAGATTGCCTAGCTCTGATGGTAGGTAGGCAGTACGAAATGTTGGGGAGGAGAAAGGACAGAGGAACACAGCGACGACACATCAAGTACACCTTGCCACCAATCGATTAAACGGACCAAATCCAAGCCCGTTGAGGGACTACCTAGGGATCAAACACGCTCAAATCTATGAAATCCAACGCTAGCCACCCATTGTTGAAAGTGCGTCCCCGGAGCTCACACTACTCCGTTCGCGGCAGTCTTACTCTCAGCGCCGTTCTGCAAGACTTCGTCCGCCTGCTTAATCGTAGGCACCGATTCGGACGGAACGACGAGCGACGCGCCGTTGACGACGCCGTTAGTGGAATCTTGGTGCGGTGCTTGGAGTCCTTGGCGGACCTTCAGCACGCTGTCGACGATGACGGCGTCGATGCCTTCGTTTCGTTGGAGCTATTTTACTGTCAGTAGATGTTGCGTAAAGTGAAAGCCCGTGAGGGAATGACTTACCAGAACGTTCTTAGGATCGTTGTTCAATATGCCGTACGAGACGCATACCAAACCACTTTCCTTCACCACCTTGACAAGTCTCGGGCACATGACCAAGGGCTCAGCGGCGGTGACCACTCCAAGCAAATTCCAGCGACTAGCAAAGCGGATGCCTTCTTGTAGACTGGCCGCTCGCACATCGCCCACGGGCAGAGTCCCCGCATCAGTCAGGAACAGCACCGGAATAGATGGTTGCTTGAAGGATAGCATGAGGCAGACGTCGGGATTGAACGATGAGAAGATAATGTTCCGTTGGCCCATCCTGTCGTACACCTTCTGCAGTACTGTATCGACGAACTGGTTCAGCTCAACAGCGTACTGGTCCATCTCCTCATCCTCGGTTTCGTAAAGCATAGGGTACTTGAATTCGACGTTGAACCCGACAGATTCAGGCAACTCGTCGAACATGCGGTCTAGAGTCGTGAATGACGATTGAATGGAGGTGCCACGGTTGTTGCCCTTGAAGCCCTTCTTCATGAAATCGCGGGTGTACTTCATTCGCTCTGCGAGCTCGTTCTGACGATCAGTGTGGATGTTGCGCTGTTTCGAGTTATCGACTGAGTATGATCGGAGTCTCCGGGTGTTGGGCTTGTCGTCTGTGCCATTCGCACCGTTCAGAACAGGCACAGTTTCTGGTGATCCAGCGCGAGAGGATCGTGGCTTCTGACCCTCGCCGATGTGCAGAAATTGGTCCAATGTAAGCGTGTGTACGGGTGCATCGATACCAGTCTCGCTGACCAAGAAGTCATGATAGATAACCGGAACATGGTCCTTGGTTAGCTGTACGTCGAACTCCACGTACTCCGCACCCAGATTGGCAGCGGAGATGAAGGATTGAATCGTGTTCTCGCCAAGTTGTAGCGACGTTCGTGAGGCGGTGTTCTTTCCTAGACCGCGATGGCCGATGACCATGGTCGATGCAGCCATTTTCTTCCAGTAGGTGTGCTGTTCTGTGATCGACATGCTCGGGTGATGGAAGGGCGTAATGATCAAGAAGTTGAAGTTAACTGTGCCAATTACATCCAATGTCGAGGCAGCCACGATTGGTACCTTCATGTCTCCCTGGAGCGAGATGCGCTTAGATCCAATACTGGTCTTGATGGTCGACAGTAATGCCACCGCTCGTCCCACTACACGCTCTTGAGAACCCGCATATGTTGGGATAATGTCGAAAAGTAGCTTGACTTTAGTGGCATCGCTGGTCATGAAGGTGATTGGCTCAGTCGCAATGTTTTCCTGGATGGGCAAGTCAATGACCGAGGGTTCTCCGTTTGCGCCAGACGCATTGACAACTACAGACAGAGCGGTATCGAGTTGCGTCGCGTGTGCATCGGCAAGAGGGATATCGTCCAATTTCACGGCGGGCACATCTTTCCTGGCGTCCATTGAACCAAGGCTGACAAGAATCATTGTCTCTTTGGTCAAGTAACGATGACCAAAGGTCTTCACGGGTTCGGGCGCCTTTTGAACAGGCGTATTGGTGTCTCGGTTTAGATTCTTAGACCTTCGCTCGTCAAGGGAGGATTGTGTAGGCGAGCCAGCTCGAGCAATACGCGTATCCTTAGGCGCGACAAGAGGCGGCTCTGTCGCAGGAGCAAGTTCCCCTAGTCTGATCGCTACCGCGATGTGACCACGGAGCGTGGCGTGCTCCTTTGCTGTCCAGCCAGAGTTGTCGCACCTCTGGAGATCAGCTCCGGCCGCAGCAAGAATCTCCACCATGGAGATATGGTCGTCGACAGCAGCAATAAACAGTGGCGTCCAAGCGAATGTCTTCTCGGTGACATCGACCTCCGCCTTATTCACACTGGATCCTCCCAAAAGTACCTTGGCGCACTCATCGTAACCGTAGCGTGCCGCCATGTGTAATGCGGTCTCACCGCCCTCATCCCGGTAGTTCACGTCCACACCCGCTTCGACCAAGAGCTTGACAATGTCTACGAAGTTGGACCGGGTTGCTAGGGTCAAGGCTGCTCCTGATCTGGCGATGGTTTTACGAGATGTAAGGCGTTCTTCTGTGGTACCGCGCCAGTTTTCCGCATCGAGGAGGGCTTTCGTGGTGAGCGGATGTCCGCCCATTACGCTGAGATGCAAAGGAGCGTTACCCTCAGCATCCTGCCAGTAAGCGGAGTCGATTCCCTGAGCGACGTCGAATTGGCCCCAATCTTGCATGTGCTTCATAACGACCTGGCAAATGACGACAAATCCATATTGCGCAGCATAATGGAGCGGGAATCTGCCATAGGAGTCGCGAGATTGAAGCGCGTTGCGTTGCTCAGCCTGGAGCTGATCGAGGAGGTAGACGAGTAACCGTACCGACTCATCGTTCTCGCTGAGTAATTGCGTTGACTCTTCTTCGGTGGTGGTGCAAGGGCGAGGTTGGCGATTGGGATCCGTCGCAGGCACAATGAAGTTGCGCGTCTCGCTAGAGCTCTGGAGAAGGGTTCCATCAGCACCAAACGTGTCGCCAGTCTTCGATCGGCCGATATTGATGACAAGTCGGTGGATGCAATTGCGCTTGTTGATGTCGTCTTCCTCATCTAGTGAGATAATGTCCTTGAGTAATCTCTCGATACATGACTTTGCCCGGCATGAGATGGCGCGTTGCAGGAAGTTCAGTAGTACTTGCTGGAACGAAGCACTCGAAATGCCATTGCTCGCAGCAGCTTCTGTGAGTTTCTGGTTGAGATCTTCGACCTTGTCGCCCCGAATAGCCGTATCCACAGCGTCGAGCAGGCCCGCGGGAAGGTGTAACGAGCGACCTGGAACTCTGCCCAGAGAGGCCGCCGAATGGGAGGAGCCCGTGTCATCGAACGTCTTGATGTCGCTCAACCCTGATAGCCACTCGTTGACTGCCTTCATATCCTGATTTAGAGGCAGGTTATGCGCAAAAGGCTTTGGGTTGACTTTCGATGCCAAGTAGCGCTCCTGCAGACAAACTGTCTCAATTTTCTTGTCCAGCTTCTTCGTGATCTTGATGAAGCCTCTACGATTCACCTCTCCATACCATTGGAGCTTCCGCATTGAACCGCGCAGCTCGAGCAGTGCGCCCATGAGATCCTGCGCTTCATCCTTGTCGATGCCGTCAGGCAATTGTGCGACTCGTCCGTAGCGGCCATGTAGAAGCCTCAATCGTCGTGCGTTTTCGGCGTATTTGCGGTTGTAGAAGTTGTCAACGTCTTCGAGGTTGCGATCGAGCGAGAAGAAGAACTCTGGGGTGAATGTTAGCCACGTATTCAGCGACTTGAAGTTCAATAGTCGCAATAGGCTTGACGCGCTCGTGACGACTCCAAGATGTCCACAACAGCTTGGTGAAGCATAGCCATGGAGTATTTGGTATGAGTCTTGGCAGAGTTGAAGTCTACTTACCAGCAAGATCTGGAGCCGAGCCATCTTTCGAAGCTTCAGCAGCGTTCTTGATGAGCTTCTTGAGGCCCTTGTAGTTGATATAAGACGCCGCCCATTCCGGGACCTGGTTCCTTGGTAGGTTGTGTCCGAACTTCATCCTGGGGGCGAAGCAACAATCGGTGGACAACTGGATCCGGGTAGAGCTTGATATTGAGCTCGAGGGTGGCTCTAAATCGTATATAGAACTAGCTCCAGGCAGGCGGGGGCGGCAAAAGGAACGAAATATAGGTAGCGGTAGGATTGAATGATCGGCAGGGCAAGAGCCAGAGAGTCAATTCCATGCGGCCTGCGCAATCAACGCGTTAATGTTGAATCTTTAGGGTGTGCTCGAGGCGCCCATTCTCATTGGAGGAGACGGAGCTCGACAAAAGCGCGCCTGCAACATGGTTAAACGGACTGTCAAAAGTAGGGAAAGCCGTAGCTCGAGGCAGGGGAAGTACACTGGAGCGGCGGAATCGCTGGTCAGTGTTATCGGTGCGGAGCTGGACGGGTGAGTGAAAGACGTTGAGATGAAAAGAGACGTGGTTGGTGCGTCGCAGTGATCCCCAATGACGTATGGCGACGGAGCGCTTTGTTCAGTCACTCCCGCCAGCGCGCGCAGAATGTCGTCTGCCTTTATACTCGCCGTCGCTGCAAAGCTTTGAATGTCTCGGTTCAACGGTGGATCCCTGCCCCAATTATCACATCCTAATGCGTCACGCTTCAGCGCCTCTCGCATCGGCGGGTCACGGCGGTGTACCATGTATGTTTGTCAGCTTGGCTCGCGACGGACATTGCACGCGAAAAAGCTTCTTCTTGGCACTGCATAGAGCAACTTGTGCGAGTGTGAAGCGCGACACAACTGGGCATGGTGCTGGCAGCGATCGTGAAGACTCTGGCGCGGGTGCACCGCGGGGCCAACACGGGTAAGCATACACGCGACTACCTTCCGTGGCGGGACGCATGTCATTAGCAGTGCATGGGAGTGCATATGGGGGCACGGTAGCTGATCCGGGTCACACCGCATCGAAGACTGATTAATGTGGATGGTGGGGTTGCATTGATACTGGCTATGTGCTCTCCGCGCCATTATACCTCAGTGACTACACGGCACGTTTAAGCGTTGTGCTGCAGCTCGCTCCGCTCTGGGGAACCTGGCTTCTCCAGATCCCGCCCGAGCCATTAGACCCCTCCCGCTAGCCCACCCATCGAGCGCCAGGGCTTCCAAGATAAGGACTAGGCGAATAGCAGGCCTAGGCCGACCTGGAGATTATTCCTGGACCATCAGGTGGTTCACGAAAAAAAGAAGGCGTTGCCCTCGTTATCCTTCCGCTGCACCTTGGATAGGTCCTTGTCTGGAGCGTACTCTGTCCATGCGCTTGCCGGGAATATGTGTTTGTTGCGTTCATACCACCGCCTGTCAACGACCTTGGTTATCGCTGGGTCTTCGCCGTAACCCTCGAGTTCTTCGTCTGGTATGCTGGACTCTTTGCTCTTCTTCTTAAGGGGTTGAGCAAGCGGGTCGTATGTAGCGGGATCTGCGTCCGCGTCTTCGTCGGTCGCGCTCGGGGTGGCTTTGGTGGGTTGCGCCGAGTAGTCGAAGATGGGGCCGTCGAAACCGGTGACCCTGTTAAACAGGAAGTGATAGATCTCGTAGTGCTGACACGGGGTTAGTTGATAGGTCGATACGTGGTGTTCAGGTTTGATACTCACGTGTGGCAGGATAACTTCACCTCTCACGAGCATCAAGTCGTCCACGCTGACCCTAGCCCAATCTCTTCGACTCTTGTCACCGCCTACGCCTAGCTCTGCGCCGACCTTCCTAGCTTTGTCTAGGAACAGCCATATTTGCTCGCCCTTCTTGATCCTGCATCGTCCACCTGGGACGTTGGTGCCATCGTAGAAGACGAATGGTATCACCACTTCCGTGGCCTTGACTGCGTCGCGCATGACGATGAAGTCTTGCCGTGCCAATTCTGCCTGTTGCGCTTCACGTTGGAGAGCCGTTTTGGTCATAACGCGGGGCTTGAGGCCGATGTTCGAGTTTGCGCCCAGCTTCTTCTTGAACACTTTGGGTTCTGCTTCCGGGGCAGAAGCGTCTGCGGGTGTGCTTTCGCGCGGGGTCGGCGTCTTGGAAACATTGGATTCGGTGTCTTCGTCTTCGTCTATGCCGAATGACAGCTTGCCTTTCCCGCCTACTTTGCGCTTCTTCTTGAAGACGGGTTTTGGCGTCGATGCCCTGTACTTTGCAAATTAGCGGGTACTTCCTAATGGGAAGGGACCGCTCATACCCGTCTGTGGGTGTGTTTTCACCCGAACTGATCGCAGTGTCGCCTCGCTCCTTCCTGTCCAAAGCGTCGGCGCGTCGCTTGCGATAGTCGTCGAGGTTGACCAGTCCGACAGTTTGCGCCTTTAGCAAGTCCTCTGCTGTCGCGGCCTGGGATGTGAAGCGGGGGTTGCCAGACGCATCTGCGCGATCGCTTGAACTGGACGCGAACCTGTCCATGTTGGCGGAACGATATGTGGTGGGGGATGCGACTGCCAGAAAGTTGATGGTGCCTGCCGAATATCAGAAACGCGCTAGCAGCTCGTCTCGTGATTACGCGATTTGGCGCGGTCACCCGGAAAGATCCCCACCCCACTCCCCGGTAGTCTCGCCTCTGCGACCCAAGCATCTACCTGAAGACACACGGCGGGAACAACGATGTCGCGCATTGTACAGGATTCTGATGAGGAGTCGGACGGCGATCTCGAGGGCGACCTCCCGCCGCCCAAACAAGCAGACGCGTCCGGACAGCCACTCAGCAATGACACCCACGGCACGGGATCCACCGGTAGGGCTGAGTTCACGGCATCATGTCATCAGACCGAGCTGACATGCAGCCCAGAATCTCTGAAGCGAGCCATTGAGAAGGCGCACCGGAACCATCTCCAGTCACAGCCGAGCCAGGAAGAGCCTCAGTCATCAGTGTCATTGCCTGAACATCCGAACAAGAAGAGAAAGACCACAGCTAATCCAAGTCCGCTCAAACCATTCAATGATGTGTCTGCTAAGAAAGGACCCGTCACGTATGGGAAGGCACCGAAATCCATCTTCGGTAGTTCACCATCATTCAACGCTCCACCTGTGGGCCGAGCAGACGTGACCCTCGAATCAACCCAAGAAGTACCATGGCTCCCAGAAGGTACTATGCGTGACAACTACGCCCTTCACGAACCGGCCATGTTCCCTGAGCCTTCTAGTACCGTTCCCAACGCTACTATGACCCAGCAACACATCCTCGATGTTGTCAATGCACCACTCACGATAGGACAAGAGATCGACAGTGAACAACCTCGTTACATACCTCCACCAGAGCCGTCAATACCCTGGTCAGATCTTATGAAGTTCACGCCGGCAGAGGCTACGGAGCAGACCGAATCATCTGATCGTGACCCGCCTTCCAATGATCCTCCCTTAGCCACGCCAGTCCGGACGTCACAGGGAGGCTATGAGTATAGCGCATCCCAACGAAGCAGGCGCGGCTCTGGTGGTCCTTTGAAAGGCAGCCCTTTGAGGAACGAACTTTCCCGTATTGGAGCCGGTGACGCCGGCCGAAAGACGACACCTGTTGAAGACAGCTCTGCCGATATCTGGGATATACCATCAACTGCACCACAGAAGACTCCGCGCGGTGGGCGCAAGGAAGTCAAGACGACACCTCGTCGTTCAAAATCCGCACAAGTGCCTGTCGCCAGCTCCGATGACGATCTTGCGACTATTGGCCTGCCAAAGGAGCAATACAAACCACGGCCTAGCCGCTCGAGATCGCTCAGGGTCGAAGAGGAGCAGCCCATCGACTATTCTGTCCGCCCCGAGAAGGCCAAAAAGGTCAGCAAACGACGACAGACGACGGCTACAGCCGATGCCAGCAACCCTACAACACCTGAAAAGGTCCGGCAGATTTGCGACATGGGATTCACACCTTCAACGACTTCTGGCGCCCTCAAGCAAAACAACGGTGACGTCATACAGACCATCGACTGGCTAGTCACTAACAATGTTGGCCACGACGAGCTTGCACCACCAAGTCCACCCAAAACCAAGCCGGTCATGAACAAGAGCGACGAAACTCCGGCGATGGACTCTGAGGCAATCCAAGATATTATGCGCAGTTTAGATCAGTATCAACGGGATGATACGCAGGCCGTTGCGCGAGACATGGTCCATGTTGCGGTGGCGAATGATGCCGCCCTACCAGAGCCTATCGACCTCACAGAAACTCCAACTTCCGATTTGCGCTCGCCTACGAAAGTTCAGGTAGTGATACCTAAGAAGTCACCACTTGCCGTTTCGAAGCAGCCTCCAAGCTCTGTCACTGCTTCGAACAAGAAAGCAAAGCGCAGGAAAACACTATCAGATCAAGCCGAGAACGAACCTGCCGAGACAACCTCTGTTGTGCCTGAGGTCGCGCCCGCGAAGAAGAAGGCGCGTGGTCGGCCCAAGAAGGTCGCGCCTGTTCCTCCGCCCGTAGAGCCTGACCCAGGACCGATGGAACGAGCCGTGGCGGTAGAACATCAAGAAGAAGTTGTACAAACGACCGAGCCCGGGCCTATTTCAGAAGAGATAGAGCAAGACTCTAAACTCACACGCAATGATACCGATGACCGGAAATCGCCAGACGCTACGGATACCACGACTGCCAGCCATTCAAAACCACCAGCGAAACCCTCTCCAGCTGCGGCGTCAGAGACTCCAGAACGAAAAATAAAGCCTACAAGTGCATCGCCAGCGAACACGGGCAAGGTGCCATATCGTGTCGGACTGAGCAAACGAGCGAGGATCGCTCCTCTCTTACGCATTGTGAAGAAATGATTAAGCACAACATACTTCTGCTCCCGCGTCGGCATCGCGAGCCATGATACTTTACCTCTTATCCAGACATGTACTTGAACTTAATGATACCCACTTTTACTCGGCATTGCCGTCAATTTCCACCTCTTCGTAACATCGTATACAAGGACCAGCTGAAGTTTTTCTAGTAGCGCTTCTGCCTTAGCCGAACCACAGCTGAGCAACTAAGAGATGCAGCTATCCAAAGTCACTACCGTGGAGCTAAAGTGAACAGCGCAGCCGCTTACCCGCATCCTCGCAGCGGCAAAGTTGTATTAGACAATTAGCTGCTCTTCACTGTACTTACAAGTCACGTTGCCTTAGCGAACTGTCCAAACGTTTTACATCGCATTGCACATGCGATTTGTTTGCCGGTGGTTCGTTGCCGCGCGCGGCATTATCGATTATCGAGAGCGGACGCCAGCGCTCGCTTCAAGCTTGGCAGTGGAAATGAAGGCCCTCAGGGGCCTCCTAGCATCGAATCGCGAGCAGCGGACGACCACCGGGGCGTCCCCAATCCTGCTCTCCTGAGCTTGGCATTCAGGCGTTCGTCTTAGGGCTGGACGAAATGCGATTCAAAGTCTCATCGTACGAACGGTGTACATGACGATGTACCGTTACTGGTGCGCTGTCGCTTATTCCCAATACCACGGCACGAGGTATCGCAACGGCCGTTCGTTGGCAACACTGACATCGCTGACAGCACGAACCACGAGTAAAGTGCTTTCAGACTGACTGTGGCAGATATCGCATCGAAATTGCGAGTAGTATCCTACGGTCACCGATCATACCAGCCGCGAAGGCTTCCATTGAGCCCTTCAATTTCAAAGGTCTCTGATGGGTGCCGCGTACCGACAGAGCCGAAAGCAAACGGCCTCTGATTCCTACGCGAGACGCCATTGAACGCCACATCAAGCCAACAACGTGAAAAGCACGATGTTTTTGTGATGCCAAGTACTCCTCTAGCCTATTGTTGAGTTGGGCCCCGCCGGCGATCATCCCACTTCAGTATATCCGCGACGGGAGCCGGTCAGAACCAGCATCGCGGCTCATATATTTAGACCCCAGCGGTTTAATGGCTTGGCCTCGTCAGGAACAGGACAGGTTCGGGCTCTGTTATCCCTCTTCGAGATTGACATGTCCCTAGGAATTGGAAGCTGTTAAGCCTCCAGATCTGCTCGGCTACCAAGACATACCATCACACTGGGGACGCGAGATCATGTTGTAGCATTTGGTGGTGGCTTGTACTAGGCGCCTTCGCAGTCGTCTCAGTACCATGCCGTCTCCACATCCTCTTCGTATCCCACGAAGGTTTCCCAGGGCCGCGCTCTTGGCTGCTGATAATAGTGTGCTGACTTCTTCCAGTTAGTGGGCTCCACTCCTCGCAGCTACGCCGCCACGAGTCGCCCTTGGAGGTGCGTCTATGGCATTGTGTGATATAAGTACATCGGCTTTCTTCTCCTTACGCTCTTCACTCGTCTTGCTCGTCTTTGCACGCATAGCGACCGTCACTCGTTTTTTCATATCGACTAATTCTAATTGACGTTATCGTCAACCACACTCGCTTTCAATATTACAACCGAAGTCAACTACACCTATTATACTAGTGCTGTAAACATTAATTCGCCAAGATGCGTTTCTCCCAAGTCGCTGCTGCCTCTTTGGTAGCACCGCTCGTCGCCGCTCATGGCATGGAGGGTATGCCAAGGATCGTTGGTTTGCCCAGGCAATTGAGGGCCAGCAACCCTCTTGCTGGTTACTCAGGTGGTCATGCTGCTGAGGCAGGACCCATCATTCGTCCCCGACAGTCCACCGACGGACGTTGTGGACCGGACGGCGGCAACCAAAAGTGTGCGGACAACGAGTGCTGCTCAAGTGCCGTACGTATATTGGATGAGACACTTCGTGTATTGAGCGTGTACTGACAGTAGAACAGGGATACTGCGGTACTACCCAGGAACACTGCCAAGCGCCCGACTGCTTGTTCAACTTCGGTCCTGCATGCGGTATGACGAATTCTATACTCTGCATGATGAAAATGTTACTGATAATATGACAGACGCCAACAAGACTCCTGCTGGAGCAAGCACCCGCAACGACCCCCGCCCCCAGCTTGGAAGCATCCCCTACGGCGGTGAGGGCATCTACGTCTGCAACAACCCTGGAACCGTGGCAATCACATACGACGATGGTCCATACATCTACACCGAGGGCGTTATGAAGCTGTTCGAGGCACGAGGAGCCCATGCCACCTTCTTCATCACCGGTAACAACATTGGCAAGGGCGCCATTGATGAGAACTGGGCGGGTGTCATCAAGAAGATGTACGACAACGGCCACCAGGTCGCCTCTCACACATGGTCCCACCAGGACCTCAGTGCTATCACTAAGGAGGAGGCTTACGACCAAATGGTCAAAAATGAGATGGCTATCCGCAACATCATTGGCAAATACCCCACCTACATGCGCCCACCGTACTCTTCTTGCACTGGAGGCTGCCAGGAAGTCATGGCTGATCTCGGTTACGTCGTCTCATACTTCGACCTCGATACCGATGACTACAACCAATTGACCCCCGAGAAGATCCAGGTCGCCAAGGACAACTTCAAGAAGGGTATTGATACCCGTAACGAAGGATATTTCGATGGCGACAGGCTTGCCATTGGCCATGACATCCACCAGTTGACCGCCGAGAACCTCACCGTATACATGCTCGACTACCTCTACGCTCAAGGTCTCAGGGCTGTCACCATGGGCGAGTGCATGCAGGACCCTGAGGAGAACTGGTACCGCGACTCTACTCCCGCTCCTCCCAGCACCTCATCTACCCGTACTTCTTCCCCCGCTGTCCCCACTCCTACCGGCCCCACGTCTAAGGACGGCATGTGCGGTGCTGCTGGTGGCTCTCAATCCTGCGTCGGCTGGGTTGGCGTCGACGGTCTCCTCGGCGAGTGCTGCTCTCAGTACGGCTACTGTGGCAACACCGCCGATCACTGCCAGACTGGCTGCCAAGCTGGTTTCGGACAGTGCGGTGCCCAGCCCAGTGCTTCTCCCTCTGCCTCTGCTACCGTCACTGCCAGTGTCACTGGCCCTGTCCCTGCCCCCACCGGTCCCACCACTACCGACGGATCTTGCGGTGCGGCAAACGGCGGCATGACCTGCATTGGCTTCAACGGCCCTGCCGGTCTGAGCGAGTGCTGCTCCCAGTACGGATACTGTGGAAACACTGATGTCTACTGCGACGCCGGATGCCAGGCTGGCTTCGGAAAGTGCGGTGCTCAGGCCGTCAGCAGCGCCGCTTCTTCCGTTGCTGCCAGCACCAGCCCTGCTCCTTCTTCCTCTGCCGATGTCAGCGCCAGCAAGGACGCTGTCTCCTCGACTGCTTCAAGCACTACCGTCGATGCTAGCTCGAGCGCCAGCCAGGTCTCTTCCGCAGCCTCTGCTACTCCCACCACCTCCGGTGAGAAGTCTCGCGATGGCTCATGCGGTGGAACCAAGGGATACACCTGCATCGGTTTCAGCACTCTCGAGGGCGTAAAGTCTGAGTGCTGCTCTGCTTGGGGATACTGCGGTACCTCCGAGGACCACTGCGGTGCTGGTTGCAACCCCGTCTACGGCAACTGCCCTTCGACCTCTTCTTCGTCTGCTTCTTCTTCCATTGCTGTTTCCAGCGCCAGCGAGAAGTCTGACTCTACTTCCTCTACCGCGGCTATTCCTACGTCTGAGACAGTTTCTTCCGTTGTCGCTTCAGTCTCTGCTTCTGCGTCCGTCTCCGAGTCCGTTTTCGCTTCGGCTTCTGCCTCAGTCTCTGAGCACCTTTCCGCATCGGCTTCTGCCTCGGTTTCTGAGTACGTCTCTGCATCCGTTTCTGCCTCTGAGTACATCTCCGCATCGGCTTCAACCCCTGCATCCGAGAAGCCCGAGGAACACGACTCCACCTCCGTCGCTGCTTCTGCTTCCTCCACCTCAGTTGCCGAGTCTGCTTCCGCCTCCAAGGACAGCTACCCCACCAGCTCCGCCATCTCAGAAGTCTCCTCCGCCTACCCCAGCTCCACTCCCGGAAACTCCGAGGCCGTCCCATCAAGCAGCCCCATTGCCTCTGCTTCTTCCTCCTCCCACGCCTCCAGCTCCGCCATCCTCCCCAGCAGCGCCGCTTCCACCCTCTACCCCACCTCAACCATGACACCCACCCCCATCCTCCCCTCCTCCTCCTTCTCCACCGCCATCGTCCGCCCCAGCTCGACTTCCTGCTCCACCACCGCCACACCCACACCTACCAAGCTGCCCGTTTCCTCCAATGGAAAGTGCGGTGAGCACAATGGTGGCCAGACGTGCGCGGGCTACAAGACGCTGTTTGGTGTTGAGATGGGTTGCTGCTGCAAGCAGAGTGGGAGGTGCTCGATTGATCCTTGGGCGTGTGGGCTGGGGTGCGATAAGGGGTATGGAAAGTGTTGGTTTTAGGTGATGAGTAGGGAATGAGGATACGAGGTTGAGGTCTTTTTTTTACGTTCTGGGTATATCCTGTTGAGATGATGGGGGTTTGTTGTTGGTTATGTATGTATAACATGTAGAGAAAGAATGCATGATGATGAAAACGTACTTCGTGTCGCGCAGTACTCGCTCTCACTGAAGGGTCAAGCTCACCGGTGTGTGTTATACACGTGTTTGCGCAAGCACGCTTAGTAACAAAGCTCCGGCCGTGTGACGCCAGCTAAGCAATCGCTCTTTCCCTTCTTTACTGGCTCACTATCTCTGCTTTCGCAGTTCGTCCTGCTCGCACAAGACACCTGCTAGCTTTCTTTTGACCCGGCGCTCAGATTATATCGTATCAACGCAAGACAACATGTCGATGGATGCAATCTCAACAGAAGTGGATGAGCTCATCATTGAGAGTTTGCGAAGCGAGGACGTGAGTGCCATGTCAAAGGTCAACAAATATTACCGCGGCCTAGCGGAAAAGCGCCTCTACAGAAACCTGACCTTCCATACGGACTGCTATTATCGCATCAACAGACTTTTTCTCACCATTGTCGATCGGCCAGACCTAGCGAAACTCATTCGAAGCTTCATGCTGACACACAAACCCAGCTCACATCCGATCAGCCCCGTCACCGATGCTGATCGCTGGGCCTTTTGGAATCAAGTCACTGCCGTGAAAGCTCTGCTCGAAAAGATTGTCAAGGGTCGCGATCCAGACATATTACTACGTTGGCTTAGTCGTATCTACGCTGGTAAATGCTTCTTCGACGGTGCGCTAGCTGCTGTCCTATGTCTTGCGACAAATCTCAAGGACCTGCATTTCGAGGTTCCCAGACATGACCATCTTCCAATTACGAAGGAGCTATTAGGCTACAGTTGGTACCGTCCAAAAGGTAGCTCCGAGGACTTTCCCTTCTGCAACCTAAAGATTCTTTGCACGAATGACGATGGCGCGCAGACATTACCTGTGCTACCTAAGCTCGAGTATTTGGTCACGTGCGGCGCTCCACATTGGTTTGATGAGAGCAATACACAACCTGTCAGCTTTCCTTATCCGAATAAGTTGGTGGGTACGAACTTGCGAGGTCTAGTGATCAAGGGCCTTGATATAGACCCAGCTGTTCTCGAGGCCATTCTCTCTTCTCCAACACTATTCGGAGTCAAGGAGCTCATGCTCACTGAACTTCGTACTCGGACCGGGGGACCTTGGGGCGGGTATGATCTACAGAACATCAACAAAGCGATCGAGATCAATCTACCCGACCTGGAAAATCTAGATTGGTCTCACCAAAAGCTCAACACTCTTGCTCGTTCGTGTTTCGGAAGTTTCAAGGACTCGTCCAAGCTCCGGGCACTGGAGGTCGACGCCCAGTTCTTGTCTACAGATAACCACCCGTCGTTGCATCTTACCCATCCACAAGAGTATCTACCGGACAGTCTAGTGGCCTTGCACATTGCCTCTTTGAAAGAAGATGACGAAAAGATCGACTTGGCCTTGGAGGCAGCGCGTACTATTGGCCTCAAAGTCATTGACCTGTCGCTCAATCTGGAGCGATGGGAGAGTGAACATGTGTTCGACGATACTGCCGTCTACGAGCTGCCCAAGGCGAGGAGGAAGTATTTTCGCAAAAAGGTTGCTGAGATGGCTACTCTGGGCATCGAGATGCATGTCTGGCGACAGAAGGGCAGGTACCCCAAGGAACTGCTATTTGGTACTAGATTCCAGAGGAAATGGCCTATATGGGAAGACGTTGATCCGGCATTCTGGATGGAGGTTGTGCGTGTTGGATGGATGGTCAAAAAAGGTCAGCGGGATGCTTCAGAGTTGGACGATGAACAGTACACAGGTGAACTGAAAGACTACCTAGATGAGGATAGTGAAGAGGAGCTCGATAATTAGGAGGATGAGGATAGTGATGCGGAGGACGAGATCGAGTTCAGCTAGAAGACCTATGCCGTTGAGATTTGGGGACATACTTTACCGTTCGATAGAAAAAAGCTGCGCGATATGTAGCTTATTTTTTAATGAGAGCTGCAACCTTAGGATCGGTGTTGAGATCAAGTGTACTGCACTGTCGTTGCACTTTCGTCCAGGGTCTTCGCATTATTGTAGAAGTACATATGCGGCGCAAGTGGGCCTTGCCTGACGATGTGCCTCTCAGGGCACCCGGCCATGCCTGATTTACCAACTTCCTCGCGGATAGCATGTGATAGATCAAAAGGAGTTGTTGACCTGCCAAGTTGTGGCGTCCCGATTCGTGCACCGAAGCAATGCTTGTCTATACAAGCCGGCGAATTTTTCAGGGGCCTGGCCGACGAATATATTGATCGCAATATTGTTGTCGTTACTATAGCCGGCTCAGCAACACCAACAACACCTACCAAAAACGTGATATACAGCTCAGTCGTGCCTACCCCTCAACAATCCGTATAATCAGATCGCCATGCCTGGGCATTCTCCAGACCCCGCGCCACTGTGAAGGATACGAGATCGTGACAAACAGCGACGAGAAAACGTGCTCGTATGGCCGTCTCAGCAGGACGTATTCGTCGTTGGCGCCGCATCTGAGAATTATTGAATCGGGGCTATTTTGAGACTTAGGTGCATCGGTTAGCGCCCGGCCATGTGGGGATGTGGCTGGTGACCCATAAACCCTGTCATGTTTCGTGATGACGGGCTACAACTTTACAAAGCCGGCAATCTCTTCACCCCTCAGTTGAATAAACAACCCTTCGCAGGGCTACTTCCACCTTGTGTAATCAAGACTACTTCTCAAGTAAGTACCTAGATATCAACATCGCAGAATCTCGGGACCAAAAGACAAGGCCGGGTCGTCCGGCGAGTCGGACGGTCAAGCCACATCAAGCTTGGCGCCTACGTCGAAACTCCCGCTCGCACATCACGGATCACGGCTAACGAGACCCCCGAAGCAGCCTAAACCAGGGGCGGATCACAACCTTCCCCCTGCGCCACCTATAGGAATGCGCTGCGAACATTACACGACCCCTAACCCCCTGTCCGTTGCGGTCCCAAAGGCCAGAAGCAGTGTGGCTGAGTGCAGCACCACCACCGCCAACAATGGCGTGCGTTGGTGTGATGTGTCGCGCGTTTCGTTTCGTATATCCCTCTTTTTCTTTGCTGCCTCTACCGCCCAGCTTACTTGCCTTGGTGCCTTGACTCTCCAGTTCCAGCGCGCGGTTTTTCTGGGCTTAGACATAGTTTAGCGAAGGTAGCTTGGACAAGCTTCGCGCCTGTTTAGAGAAAAAAAGCACGACTTGTGGGCGGTGTTCGAGACTGTCCTGACTGGTGGTGCCGTGTAAGCGGAGTAGCGAGCGGCTTTACTGCACGTTTTTAGTATATGAGCTTGCGGAGCCCGCGTTTGCGCTGACCCTCTTGGTTTTTAGGTATCGTCTCTTTACATCGTCGAGCTTTGTTGCAGCATTGTTGAGCGCTTTCACGTTTTCTTTCTTCTTGTTCATTGCTGATGGCTCGGTGACACTCGTTCGCTATTCTCTTCACGTTTACTAGCCGTCGATCAACCGTGATCCTTTACCATATTCATATCCTTGTTTAATTATTCGGATACTGTCACTACATCTACGATACGAAATTCGAAGCATACCGAACGCCATGTCATACCTTCCGCCACTAGGAGCCTTGCTCCTGCCTCTTACGGCACTACTCGCCCAGTCTGCACTCGCTGCCAACCCGTATACCAGCTCCATGAACGAGGCACCCAAGGACAACAACCCAGACTGCGACTGCTATGTCGTCCAATCCGGCAAGGACTCGCAAACACCAGAGTACTTCCAATACTACCGCTTTTACGACTTCCGAAACCTTCCAGGCGCAATGAGCGAGTCACCGCCGCTTCTCAACGATAGTCAGATCGCGGGTATGGCAAATACATGGCAGCCAGATCTGTTCAACAGCGATGCTTGGAACTACGATTGGGGCATTCAGAACTGGACCAAGCCCGCCACCGAAGACTTCCCCGTACCGATGAACAACTCCTTCGCGAACATCTTCCTCGGTGAAGAAGACTCCACATCATACCTCGCACTACGAACGTCGCGTCTGGATGACTACCAGACAGCCGGAGAGATCGAGAACCAGCAGAAGAACCTCATGCACGTTTCGATGCGCATGTATGGTCGTGTTCAAGGTGCCAAGGGTGCGGTCGCAGGGTTCTTCACCTTCTTCGACGACGATAACGAGTCCGATATCGAGATCCTGACCGACGATCCTAAAGATCAGATCCGCTACACGAACCAGCCTTCCGTAGGCGAGGATGGCAATGAAGTCGCTGCTGCGTCCGTTGGCCCTACCGACCTCCCCCGCTGGGACGAATGGCAAACCCACCGCATCGACTGGCTTCCCAAGAACAGCTACTGGTACCTCAACCAGAAGCAGGTCGCCGCAAACACATACTCCGTCCCCCGCGAGCAGAGCTTCCTGGTCCTAAACATGTGGGGTGATGGCGGAGAGTGGAGTGGCGAGATGGATGTGGGCGACAGTGCCGAGTTCCACATTCAGTGGATTGAGATGACGTTCAATACCAGTGGACCATATGAAGGCAAAAGTCAGGAGAACAAGAGGGATACAACCAATTTGTTTGGAAGAAAGAGAGCGGAAAAGGGATGCAAAACCGTGTGCAAGATCGATGACGTGAAAGAAGTCGGTACGCCTGAGGTTGATAGCGGGGCCATGGGAATGGGTGTTTCTTGGGGACTGTTGACCGTAGTTGGTCTTGTGTCTGTTGTTGTCGGGATATAGAGACTAGATGTGCATGAATGATTGTAATATACCCAAGTCTATATACACTGCTGCATACTTTGAAACAATATGTTTAGGAGATACACCTGCGTTGTGCCCGCAATTTCGAACCAGCACCTCCAACAAAGCAATACCCAATTTTATCCCCAATCTATCCCGTAAACAAGTTTGCATATTACAACCAATAATTAGGCGGGGATAAAGCTTTCCAATAGCCGTGGTCCATATTGTCTTGCATCTCCTCTACAGTTTGGCGCGGTACCTCACATGTACTACTTTCAACGTAGTATATCGGACCATCCAAATGATCCACGTCTGATCTTCTGCAGTAAGCCAGTGGAGCTGGTTGTTCCCGGCAAGTTCTCTCGCGGTTATATTCGATGAGATGTTCGAGCCCATCGCCCGCATATTCTGGAGCCGCTTAGCACCTCCAATTACCTATAAAACGATAAATAATCGTGACTTACCTGGAGTGGTGTACGCTATCCGTACAGTAAAGTCAACGGCGATGGGTTCTGCAAGCAACGACGCTTCGTCACGAATGGAGGTCAGAGTTCTGACGTGCTCGATGATGGCCCTCGGATTAGGGCATTGATGCAACATTGAAAGATGCCAATGAATGTAGATACTCTTCAGTCGAGAGAATTGTCCACTTCGAACAGCTTTGAACAGTCCCCTGCAGTACGGCAACAGGTTCATATACCATGGCCTGCCAGGTGCGTCAAGCCATAGGTGCTCGAGTGTGTTTGGAAGAGTGTCTGCTAGAACTGGTGATATTTTCGTCAATAATGTACTCGGAGGATTTTGGCTGAGACCATCGTAGCCGAGAAGTAAGTATGGCTTCGCTCGCAGGAAAGTGAGCGAGCTGAAGAAGCTGCTCATTCGGAATGTACCTGGACTCGAATCGAAAGTTCGCCAATATACTCCTAGCGTATCTCCAAGTGACAAGCTGACGAGAGTGTTGGCATGTGGGATCAGTGCCGTTCTGACATGGTCATAGAACTCGTAATCGCGTGGTCGACGTTCGTACGGTGATACCACCTCAAAGTCGGTGATTGCCCTGCAAGCAACTATCATTTTCGCGGCGATGGAACCGCTGAAACGTGGAGATAGCAACGATAGTCTGGCTATAGAAGAACTGCGAACTGGCCATTTCCAAGGGTCTCCCATGAATGCAGAGTCGTCGGTATCTGGCCCAACAGCCCACGGGCGTCCATGATCAGTCTCACCACAGTTACCAAGGGTGAGATCAGTCAGGCTGGGAAGAAGAAAGAAAGGTAGCACGTCACGGACTGGCCATTCAAGATCGCTTTGGTGTATGTCAAGGTGGAGAACTTTGAGCCTTTCGAAACCGCCCTCATGAGCACTGTGGACGATGCTGTTAAGCAAGAAGCTCGTGTTGTTTCCATCCAATTGCGTCTTGGGAAGGCGGATCCAAAGGCGCTCCAAGTTACATGCAGCGAGAATACACGGGGTGAGTAGCACATCTTCTCCGAGAATAGCGCGCTCAAGAAGGTCGTGGTCAGAGGCATGTGCCTGACTGCTATCCATGGCTGAGACAAGTTTGGCAAGCCACTCGTAGCCTTCTGGCGTGTAATCCGGCACATCATTCACATCTTCGTTAATATCACTTCCATTTCCATCCAGCATCTTCCGATGCCGTCTCTGATAGCGAACGCATCCTGCATCCTGAGTCGCACGTTCCTCGACCTCTTCGTCATCGAGCTCGTTCTCGGGTCGCAGGTTATGCCCCGCCCAAAAATCGCCTACCTCGAAGCCGTCCTCCATCTTCAGCTTCAGATTCTTGATGTACCCACACAGCTCCACGTTCTTCAGAAGAGTACGTGGTAACTGGCGATAAGCCTGACTATCAATGTCGCCAGCCCGCTCAATGGATTCGTAGATGAGCGATCTCGCAACATCTCTGAAGCTTCGGCAGACACGACACAATGCCAGGAGATCTCGCGAAGGAGCGGGTACACGTGGCGCAGAGAAGCATGTTATTGGCGTGTGCAGGAGACTGAAGATTTGAAGGAGCAGCTCGTTCGGAAACTCGTCCATGACTGGAAGACAAGACGAGAAACGTATTGCGCCTAAGACGGGGATTGTTGACCTTAAAAGTG